TATCCTGAAATCACTGTGAAATTATCCTGAAATTATCCCCAAAATAATCCTGAAATTATTCCTGAATTATTCCCAAATTATCCTGAAATTGTCCTGGAATTGTCCCTAAATTGTCCCCAAAATAATCCTGAAATTATTCCTAAATTATTCTCAAATTACCCTGAAATTGTCCCTAAATTATCCTCTAAATTATCCCGAAATTGTCACTAAATTATCCCCAAAATAATCCTGAAATTATTCCTAAACTATTTCTAAATTATCCTGAAATTGTCCCTAAACTATCCCCAAAATTATCCTGAAATTATTCTTAAATTATTTCTAAGTTATCCTGAAGTTGTCCCTAAATTATTCTCAAATTATCCTGAATTTATTCCTGAATTATCCCCAAAATTATCCTGAAATTATTCCTAAATGATTCCTAAATTATTCCCAAATTATCCTGAAATTGTCCCTAAATTACCCCAAAATTATCCTGAAATTATTCCTATATTATTCTCAAATTATCCTGGAATTGTCCCTAAATTATCCCCAAAATTATCCCCAAATTGTCCCTAAATTATCCCCAAAATTATTCTGAAATTATTCCTGAATTATTCCCAAATTATCCTGGAAATTATTCCTAAATTATGCCCAAATTATCCTGAAATTATCCCTAAGTTGTCCCTAAAATTATCCTGAAATTGTCCCTAAATTATCCCAAAATATTTCTGAAATTACTGTGAAATTATCCTTGAATTACCCTGAAATTGTCCCTAAATTGTCCCCAAAATAATCCTGAGATTATTCCTAAATTATTCCGAAATTGTCCCTAAACTATCCCAAAACATTTCTGAAATTACTGTGAAATTATCCTTCAATTATCCTGAAATTATCCCTGAATTATCCTGAAATTATCGCTAAATTATCCCTAAATTATCCCCTAAATTATTCTGAAATTATTCCTAAGTTATCCCTGAATTATCCTGAAATTGTCCCTAAATTATCCCAAAACATTTCTGAAATTACTGTGAAATTATCCCCGAATTATCCTGAAATTGTCCCTAAATTGTCCCCAAAATTATCCTGAAATTATTCCTAAATTATTCCCAAATTATCCTGAAATTGTCCCTAAATTATCCCAAAATATTTCTGAAATTACTGTGAAATTATCCCTGAATTATCCTGAAATTATCCCTAAATTGTCCCCAAAATTATCCTGAAATTATTCCCAAATTATCCTGAAATTGTCCCTAAATTATCCCCAAAATATTTCTGAAATTACTGTGGAATTATCCCTGAATTATCCTGAAATTATTCCTAAATTATCCCCAAAGTTATCCTGAAATTATTCTTAAATCATTCCTAAATTATTCCCAAAGTATCCCAAAATTCTCCCTAAATTATCCCAAAACATTTCTAAAATTACTGTGAAATTACCCCTGAATTACCCTGAAGTTTTCCCAAAATTTATTGAAATCGCCCTGAAATTATTCCTAATTTATTCTCAAATTATCCTGAGATTGTTTCTAAATTATCCCCAAATTATCTTGAAATTATCCTGAAATTACTCCGAAATTTTTCTAAAAAAAACCCCAAATTATCCCCAAGTTACTCCAAAATATTTCTAAAAAAATACCCAAATTATCCCCAAATTACTCCGAAATTTTTCTAAAAAGAAACCCCAAATTATCCCCAAATTACTCCAAAATTTTTCTAAAAAAAACCCCAAATTATCTCCAAATTACTCTGAAATTTTTCTAAAAAAACCCCAAATTATCCCCAAATTACTCCGAAATTTTTCTAAAAAAAAACCCAAATCACTCCGAAATTTTTCTAAAAAAAACCCCAAATTATCCCCAAATTACTCTGAAATTTTTCTAAAAAAACCCCAAATCATCCCCAAATTACTCCGAGATTTTTCTAAAAAAAAAACCCAAATTATCCCCAAATTACTCCGAAATTTTTCTAAAAAAACCCCCAAATCATCCCCAAATTACTCTGAAATTTTTCTAAAAATTCCCCAAATTATCCCCAAA